GAGAACAAGTATCGTCACTTCGAAACGGTACTGCATTTAAATAGGAGTCATATAATTTCAATTACCAGATATTACATTATTACTTAAAGCTATATTTTACTTTTACTGAGAGTAACTTAAATATGGTTTCTACCTCTACGAATAATTATTCAAAAAAGGAATTACAATAAAAAATCCAAGCAGAATGACTGTTAATATTCTATGCTGTTTATTAAGTGTTGTTTACAAAACAAAAATGGAATTCAATTCAATTCGGAACTTTTGCTTTTTCAACATTGCAGATGTCACAGCAAAATATTTATATTATTGAATTTCAAATGCAATAAAAAAAGAAAAAACGCAGAACGATATCGCGCTCAGATCGCACTTTTGACCTTGATGTTTATTGGTACCATCATAGGGTACCTTTACGCGTTATAATGGTTAATCAAAATCAAAATAAAATATTTTTCATCATGACAAATTATAAATTTATAAAACCGCTGGCGCAAACAGCTGGCGACTTAGTTATGACGTCATCAGTGGTTGGAAACAATTGAAAACCAATATGGCGGCGATTACCAAAAACGAGGTCGATAAGCACTCCTTAGAAAGTTTATTCTCCTTGACCAGTTCCTGCAAATATTCAGAGAGAATACTGGTGACTGGTTTGGGTTTGCCAATACGAAGTTTTAAAATCCAGGCTTTTCTACTCGACACTAACTCTTTTTCCATTTTCGTTTCCAAATAAACCTGTGGGCCTGTTTCAAGGGGAAATATGTAGAAACTCAATCCTTTGTCAGCTTGTTTTTTTAGCCCAAGACCTGCACTGAGGAACACAACAGTAATGATTAAAGGTCATGATTATATGTATCTGATATAATTTTATAATTTCAGACTTTAACATACTAGAAACTAGTTCCATAATTTAATTTCCAGCCAGATCATAACATAACCTGTGGTGCAAACAGCCTACGTCAAGGCGAAAAACGCCATGATGCTTACGTCACAACTGGTTTTTTGGCCTGGGGGAGGTAGGGGGGGATTTGTTACACATAGGCCTTATGAGGATAAGCCATCCTTTAGTAGTAGTGTGCATCATCCTTGGCAAATATTGGCTCGTATAATGAAAATGTCTTGTCGTATGTATTGCACTTAGGGCCGAATTTATAGTCGTATAATGACTCTTCCTTGGAGCTCGTGAGTTTAGAATGGACACTTTACTGTTTGAAAAGTTAGTCATGTCAATTTCTAAACATTCAAGGCTTCCTCAAGGTCTTAGGAAACTTCAACGAGCGACTATAAATTCGGCCCTTAGCAGATTTACCCCTCACAAATACACCTTAAAGCCTATAAAACTGTAAACTCCGAACAAACCGCAGACAGCCCACGACTACAAAATAAAGTTTGGCCCATGTTTAGCCGCCACGCCATCTTGAATGTCACGTGGATTGGATTCAAGGATAATACACACTACAACTACAGGATAAGCTATCCTTATAAGGCCTGTGTAGAACAAATCTAAAGCTCCCCCACTACGTCGAATCACCAGTTGTGACAGAAGCAGCATGTCGTTTCTCGCCTTGACGTAGGCTGTTTGCAGCACACGTTATGATTCCGCGGGCTTTTGCTTTATGCATACACTGGCGTAACTATCATAGGGCAGTTCGGTGCAAATCACCGAGGCCCCAGAGACTTGAGGGGCCCTGCGTATGTTAAGTACTTATTTTAATAAATTCGTAAAAATTTGAAAAAAAAAATGTTTTTAAATGTCTGGAAATTGTAGTACAAGTTTATAATAAAACGTTTTCCGCTAACAACCTAAAGTTGTATATATTTTAAGGTTACACTCCCTTTAAAAAATATATTATACAACAATAATAACAATTCAAAAATCCTAATACCGTTGTCATTTCTCCTATTTTAGAATAACTGTATTTGCTTTTAAAATTAATAGGTACTACAAACCTAATTCACGGAAAAGCGCCTATTTAAAGATTTTCAAAATAGGAATTAAGAACTTGGGACATCCTGTAATAAAAGAACGAAAGTCCATAAATTAAGAAGGCTCCTACACCTATACTTAATATGTTTTTGTTTTGACTAATGTTCAAATTATTTCCTAATGATTTATGTCCAAATAATGCAACTGGACACGTTTACCCTGGAGTTAAAACTAACCCGGAGGTGATTCGCTATTGAGAAACCGACCTAAGTTTGTCGAAATTTATTGCATTAAAAGCCAAAAAACCATCATCAAATGGCTAAAACATTTTATCCTCCTATACCCATAACCACAGCCCCCTACATTTAACAAGCCATGAAGTTAAAAAGGCAACACCGCAATCTTACCGTCAAGTGGTGCTGGTGGTGTTTGTTTGCATAAATATATATTTTTTATTTTATTAATATGAATCACAAAAAATACATAATTTATTGTACTAAAGGGCCAAAAACAGTAATTCAATGAATAATTTAACTATTTGTGTAAATAAGAACAGTAAATAATTGATTTAAATGAATATATTTCTAGAGTCTAAAGTGTTATGTTTCAGTATGTCTTTTGAAAATCTAACTTTTTCTTTCTTCGGGATTTTTTCGGAAGGCAAGTCCATTCAAATACTTGAGCTGATTTTCGAAAATAAGAGGTACCTACTTTTAAGAGTTGGACGTTTTAGTTTGAACTCTCGAACTACGCCTTTATCCTTGTTTGTTTCAAATCTAATTATTTCGGTTTCTTCAAAATGTTTACAACACACCACAGAATTTTTCGTTATTGTATAATCTCGGGTATAATTATCTTGGTGTATTGCTTTCATCCACATTTTTTGCACTTCAGATTTTTTTTGGAAATAAAAATGTTTGCATTTCTTCAGTTTTTAAGGAACTCCTAATAGTTCGATTTGCACCCAGGAACACAGTAGTTTCATGGCATCTGAAACAAGTTTAAATATCTTAGGTAATATACCGAGACCTATGCTCTTGCAGACAAATATTAATATTGTTTTTATTGTTTTACCTTACCTTACCTTCATTTTTGCTCCTGTACCCATTTGCTAAAAATTTGCAATCAAAGCACAAAGGAACAGGTATCAACTAAATATGGGCAATATATTGGTGTGTTTCTATCCACTTTTTCGTCAATAATGCCCATAAAAATACTAAATTGCAACAATACACAATGAAAGCAATACACAGAAACACATAACCCAATAACAAAATAGCACCATACGCGACGTTGCCGTCATTTCCAATTTCATGGCTTGTTAACTATAGGAGGCTGTGCCATAACGCATGAAACGTGTTTCGAGTGGGCCAGGTGACGTCACTACAGCAGCGCGTGCTCGCGCCAAACTAGCGGTAATAAATCGTCGATGTATATCCTTGGGATGTATTTATCCGGGTAGTTTAACGTTCTTGGCTGGAGCTGAATGGGAACAGGGCCGAGTTCAGAAATAACGCACAGGGGCGAGTTCAGAAATAACACACCGGGTGTGAGTGCGATTTTATGGGTGTGCCTGAAATGACAATTCTTAGGCGACAACTTTCCTATGAATTTCTGAACGCTTGGTGTGACCATTGGAGCATCTCCTCAAAAAATTTCACGAAATGTATTAAGATTACTTTTTTTTGTTGTTCATTTTTTTAATTTGAAGAAAAAACTTTAATTCCTATTTTTATTTTGTTTATATTTGGTGGGATCAATGGGATTATGGGAGGAAAGGTTGACATTGTTGACAGAATCACACAATCACACCGCAGCCACACCAAAAAATTATGGTGTGACCGATGCGACGCCAGGAGCGCGCCCGAAGTACTTTCTGAACGGGACAGAGTGCGCGCGCTCGATGTGCCTCTAGCATTTATGAACGGCTAGTGCGTCGCACCGGTGTCACACTCACACTGAGTGTGTCATTCCTGAACTCGCCCCAGGGTGCGAGTGCGATTTTAGGGGTGTGCCTGAATTGACAATTGGCCATTGGGCCCATAGCACCGTCTACGCACCGTCTAGCATTTTTGAACAGCTAGGGCGTCGCACCGGTGTCACACTCACACTGGGTGTGTCATTAGTTGTATTCCTTTCACACCTAGGAGGAGCTTCGGAACAGCTCCGGGGCGTTACGCGCTTATTCCTTTCGAAAAGTGTTTGTTGCACCTGAAGTGCTCAAGTCCGAACAAAACCATTTAAATGCACGATAAACAGCGCATCTGTGCCTTTCAAATCGGGGTCGACTAACGCCGGAGCGAGTAGCTCTAGTGTTCTAAACTCTTGAAAGGAATACATCTATTCCTGAACTCGCCCCAGTGGAGTGGAACACACCGTGCGTTCGTTATTTTGGTCTGAGTTCTCCGAGCTTGACTTTACCGTTCGTTTATTTGAAAAGTGTACTCGGTGCAGCCTCATTCGCGTTCGTTTATTAAAATTTCTGGCACTTTTATACAGCGTTCAACTGCTCTGTTCGCTCGCTGGTCACGTGATTACGGCTCCGCTCAGCACGCTCTGCTCTTTGAGCAAAATACCGAACGCAAGGTATAACAACGTGTGTCAGCTGTCAGTCGTTGTCGAACTTAACCATAGCAAACGGAACACACCCATTTTTTCTTATCTCATTAATAATTAGTTTATTTTTTATATTTATGTTATTTTTTTTTTTTGGGCATTAATAATCGAATAAACTCATTTTTTTTATTGATTTGAATTGTTAAAAAACAACAAAGTAAAGATTAAAGAACTAGTAGAAATTAGCGGCTCGACTCGCAGGTAGTTTAGGCAAAAACAAATGTTCAACATGTAAACAAAAGTCGCAAGATCCAAAATTGAAACAAAATATCTTGACCAATTTGTTGGAAAGGTGTATTTATTACAATAATTGATAATCATTAATAAATACTGTGTTTTAAAGGTTTAAATAAATAAATAAATTTAAATAAAAACGTTACCGCCCCTCGAAGAGCATGCGCAGTGCACGTCCTCCATACATTTTCTATAGTAATTAGAAGTAAGCAACCTTTTTGAAAGCGGCCATGATGGCTTCTTGTCTAACACGCCCGAGCCCGACATGGAAAATTTTCAATGTTGTTTTTTAGTATTTGTGACTGAGTGTGTGTAAATAAATAAGGCGGGAATGTACTGACAAGCCTCTTAATAAGTTCTGTGTCGGACTCGGACCGTCCAAGTGTCTGTTCGCCCGTGAAACGCGATTTTTGATGTTCGTTGTATACTTCACATGGTGGTGCCCTCCTCAAACACAAACATCATGTCCAAGCTTTCTTTTCGGGCCAGGGCCCTCGATCCAAGCAAGCCCATGCCGATTTATTCGGAAGCGGATGTGCCTGATTTACCGGAATATGCGGCTAACAGGGCTGTGCCCCAAATGCCCACGGGAATGCAAAAAGAAGAGGAATGTGTGAGTATCCTAGTCTCTCTCCGCCTTCCATGTTGGGTTTTGGGTTAGGAGGTGTGACGTCACAATGGCGGCACGAAAATAATAATATAAATACAATTTTTGAATTTTGTTTTGAGCCTATTTAAACAGTAGAAACTTTTGAAACTATTCAAAATCTCAAGGAAACATCAAGCTTAGATCCTCTCCTATATATCGCAAGAGCTGTCATTGTAATTTAAATAAAATAACCTATAATTTCGTGAGCTTTTAAATTTGGGAATTAAAGGTGGATTTATAGGAAATTTAGGATTTTATTTTAGTTTGATTTTGTGAGGGCTTATGTTATATTTTTTTGGATTAAATGGTTTTATTAATTTTTGATTAATTATTGTAACACAGTTACAACAATAAATAATTATTGAAAGACGCAGTGGATATTAATAACATAACTAATTAAAGTTTTAAGTTAAATCCACGATCCTAAAAACAGAAAACACGAATAAAAATATACAACAGGTAGGTGTAGATAGGTACCTACCTAAAAATAAGGCCGCGGTCACCCAATTCCTTAATTCTTAATTTTGTTCTTAATCAAGTTCCTTCTTAATTCTTAATCTTTGAAAACACCAATTTTAAATAAATTGAACTTCCTAAGAATTGAGGAATTGGGTAACTCTGGCCTATGTCAAGTCAAAATAAAATAAAATAGATATTGAATTCTTTGTGTAAAAAATAAAAATATGATAATAATGAATTGTGACGATATGTATTTCCATATTTAATGACAATATAAATACAAGTTTTGTAGCCTCATCTTATTGCCAAGTTGATTTCTTATATCAAAAGATTCTCTCTACACTGTATTGCAGTCAGAAATGTTCTTATTAGTATCAAATCTTCGATAAATTTCATCAAAATAGACGATCATAATAAATATTTGTAATTTCTTAAAAATTATCTAAAACATTGATTTTTTTCGAAAAAATCATTTAATTTAAATCACGATTTAAATCATTTCATTTAAATCATGCCAACCCTGTTATCCAGATTCAGAAATTTGTAAATACAGTAGAACCTCGGTTATCCGAGGTAACGTGGGGGGGTACCCACCTCGGATAAGTGAAGACTCGAATAATCTGAATGTACATATATGTATAGGTATGAATAGAGGGTATTTTCTGGAGTATCAGTCTAAAGGCTAAATAAAAATCTCAAAACTTTTAGAATGTAACAATTTATTTAAAACGTATGCCAAATTATCCTGTAATTGATATTTTTTTAATTTAAAACATGTAGCACCCTGAAGAAGAAAATAAAAATTTTCGAAAGCTAGGCGTAGCACAAAGGTTTGAGACTTTTATTTAGCCTTTAGACCAGTGGTTCCCAACCTTTCTTTAGTCACGACCCCTCTACAGATTTGCTCATAAGGTCGCGACCCCTCTACCCATTAATAAGATAATAGATATAAAAAAAATTCATTTATTCGAGAAATCTTTACTAAAAATATTAATATTCCGTAACGAAATACAGAAAGTCAATTTTTATTTTGTTAATGTGATGACTGAGCTTGCATCTCCGTTTTGAAATTCTTGGTTGAGTTTTTGTTAAAGCCAATCCTATGTCGTCTTGAATGCCCAGCCCATTCTACCTATTTCTGGCGTTTGTTCTAATTTGCAAAAGAATTGAAAAACCACTTTCACCAAGGTAGGTAGAGGCAAATGGTACTAGTATCCGAAAAGAAAGCACAAGCAGGGCGACATAAGGATATGAACTATGCATGGCACATCAAAATTCATTCAAGAATTTTTCCTGAAATAAGGCAGGTGCTGCGGAATCATTCCTTAGCTCTAAAAATGTATCCTGCACTTCATCAGGATCGTCGGCAACATCCAACATGGCTTGAAACGGGTTTCTTACTTACTGCAGCTTTTTGTTCAGATAACTCGGGAATAACGCCCATTTCATTCTCAAGGGATTGAAGGTGATAATCAATTTTCTCTTTTAGATTCTCCACAATTTCTGTTTCTGATGCTTCAGCCATTATACAGCTACCTATATTCAAAAACATGCGACTCACAACACTCACAAACTGTGCTATGCGCTTCGTCCGTGAGACCAATGCAACCCTACGCGGCTTTTGAGACGGAGGCTAAGGCGTGTTGCCAAATGCAGAAAAATATATATTCGCATTGCGACCCCTCCAAAAACCCTATGCGACCCCCTTAGGGTTGGAAACCGCTGCCTTAGACTGATACCTCAGAAAATACCTTCTATTTATAACTGACCAGTCATGAATACCTACACTCTTTTAATATGTATATGTAATATATATTCTAGAAACTCGGTTAATATGGAGTATGGACGTGCGTACCTCGGATAATCAGGCTTTTTGAGTCTGGATCTTTGGACTGGCTCAATTAATCCAGAGCTCGGATAATTGCGACTCGGATAATCTACTGTACTGACCTACTAATAATAATAAATACATACGTGATATTTTGTTCTTTATTCAAACATATTAGGGGCGAGTGAATATTTTTTTATTTTAGGTTAGGGTTAGGAGTCGAAGGGAAAACAAGTTTTGTTTGCCCAGTTAGGGCAAAAGATAGAAGTTCGTCAAAATTTAATTTTCTATGAAGCGTTACAAACTTTTCAAATTGAACTAAATTGAATGCTAAATTAAATTAATTTTTTATTTTAATCAGGATAAACCCATGTTCAACCAGAGTTCGAAAAAAAAATCATGATTTTTCCAAAAAATCAACAATTTTTATTCAGGGTGGTAAAAACCCGGGGTTTTTGAAAATTTCAATTGGGTTTTGGGATTTTGGTGACATGACAGTTTCTGTGTTTTGTTTTTGTGGTTTTACTAGTCAATAAGCACAAATTCATTTTTTAATAATAAATACCTAAATAAAGAGAGGTTTATTGTGTGAAAATCAGAAAATACATTCAACAGATAGATAGTGTGCTTTATTGTCATAAAAACATTAAGAGTACAATTTGTTTTGTGGACAAAGCAAAACTTAACAACTAACAAAACTATTTGAAATAGTAAGAAAATTTAACAGCTCTAATATTTAGGTATAGAACAGTATATTAAAAAATAGACTGTGCTTACAGTTATAATAAATGGTAAGAATAATCATCTGATTACATAAAATTACAAAACACAAAAGGTATGCAGTACTGCTAAGCATATTTTCATACACACCTGAGAGTGTTTATAACAAAAAAAAAATTAATTATTATGCAATAAAATCTACACTTAAAGTCCATGATTTAAATCAACAATGAATCTTTGCTAAGATTTCTTATAGGCCCTACTGTTTGTATTTCCTTTTGGTATCATGTTGTAAATATGTGGGCCCAAGTAAGAGAAAGAAGATTTAAAAAATTCAGTTCAATGTAATGGTATTTCAAGAGTGTCTATGTTTCTTTTTGACCTGGTATGAACCAAGCCTCACCAATAGTTCAGTGAGATATTCTGGGCAATTGTTCTTAATAATATTTTGTATCAAAACTGCAAAATGTAAAATCTTTCTTTCATCTTGAGTATTTCACTGTTAGTAATGTAAGGAGTAACATGTTCTCGTATATAGTCTATACGAAGTTACTTGGACCAGGCCTAAAATAGTGGTATGGTCAATATACTGCATCACATATTGAAAAATATAGCAAAATTTATACTGATTATACTCCTCGTACCTGTTGGAAGTCAGACAAGTAGGGATGGATATATCTAATTGGCTCATTGTACACGTTCGGTGCCAGTCAACGTGGACTCGATGATAGATCTGATGTTTCTGTTCATGCCGCTTTGTGGGGCGATATGATTGTCGGTGTGGGAGACAGTGCAGTGCATTACCTACTCTAGTTTGTTCGATTAGTTTATTGATTATTAATTTTAGTGGTGTTTTTTGAAATACGCCGCCCATGTTTGACAAAGAGAAAGCCGATTTATGCCGGGATTTAGTCTTTATACTAGTCCAAGTGACTTCGTATAGACTTTATCTATGCTAAATTAGGTAATCCAATCCCAATCCATCTGCCAGCCACAAAATTCAATATGATGTGGCGGCCAAGCAAGTTTATTTTTAATTTGTGTTTTTGATGCATATTTTAGTTATTTTGCTTGCAAGTTTGATTTTGATTATTTAATAAAATATTTGTTGACTAGGTACCTACGTAACCTATTAAGTCGGGCAGAAACTAGATATTTTTTTGTTTAGTTGTAATGTTGTAAAAATGCCTAATAAGTGTGGGTGTGGGATGTGGAAGCCTCCAAGAAAGGTACAATGTGTCTCAAACCTACAGGGTCCCAAGCGTGCCCAGTTCAGTATGTTTTTCGCATTTAAATGAACTATCAGTATATAAAAAAAGACGAATAGCATGGTTAGCGTCATTAGCAGCAGTCAAACGGAACGATCTTTCACAATCTAAAGTGGCAAATCAAAGAGTTTGTAGTAAGCATTTTATCACAAAAATAAATGAGTGTATTTTGCATCATGTCTTCAACCATGTTTTTATAATAGGAAAACCAATAAGTAAGTTAGAGGATGTGGATAATCCTGACTGGGCACCAAGTTCTTGCAAATATAGGCTCTGCATAATGATAATATCTTGTTGTATTGTATTTACCACTCACAAATACCCCATAAACCTCAAGTACATACGTGGGAGCTTGAAACTTTGGTATATACGTGGGGTGTCCGCAGCACCCCACATCGTTATGCTGTATTTTTGTGTAAAAAAACAACACTATTAGTTTCAGTTACATTTTTATTACTTTTTCTCATAGATAATAATATAATAATAATAATCCTTTATTTAGCACCTGGCTAATACATAAAACAAAATACAATTAGGTACTTATTCTTACATTACAAACCTAAAAAAAATATTAAAAAAAAAATAAATAAAATTAAACAATATAGGTATACAGTATATACTCCCTACTCCTAAAAATCACCAACAGACAATAATTACAAAACTAAAATAGAAACAAAAAAGTCAACTAG